TTTTAACAGTGTCCTTAAATGTTGCCGGCATACTTGGACGCACTACTTGGATTTTCCACGACCGCCTACCATGGGCTGGCCCTACGTCCTCATTATGTCTGGTAGTGCACGCGCAGAAGCCCTGTCAGGATGACTTTCTTATTCACTTTCACCGCCCCGAGAACGAGGCGCTGCAAATATGTCTATATAGACTCATTGTATTGCACCCCCCACACGGAAATCTTTAGTAAAAGGCGAAAAACTTATCCCAGGCTTTGACAGGTTTCAGCCAGGTAGGTGGTCGACCTACTTAGCGAATACGTCCTCATCCCCTTCGCACTCGTACCCGTACCCAAGTCGGTTGAACAGGCATAGGAAAGGCGGCCAGCGATTAAAATAGACATGCATTCACTATTGACATAAAGGGACTCAACAGAAACTGTCATTCCATAACCGTGCAATCGTTGTAGGTATGCCGCTGCATCTGTCGAACTATAACGATTGGCATGTTGCGATTCCACAGACTTAGACCTACCCAAAGCATACTCAGCCCACGAAACGTTTCAGCGCCAACCAATTTTGCACAGCTAAGTCGCACGCTCCAGTACCCTACCCATTGCTGTCATTACGAAACGGACATCAACATATGTATAATGTATTATCAGTACCAAAGTTTATCTAAATTCATTTCTCATATTAAAAAGGAAAGGCTTCAGCTATATGCGACATAAAGAGTTCCCAGGCATCTTTCAGACACATGGCGTTAATGCCAAACCATAGACGGTATTGCACTTCGTCTATGTGGGTCCAAACACCTCGACCACAAACCGGGCCTCCTTCGTGTAGCTTCCGCTTCAATCGACTCCAATACGCCTCAATGGCGTTTGTATGACGTCCAGTGGTCGGGTCCTTGAAGTGCTTGGAGTGATTGACGGAAAAATGAATATATCCTTCTGAGGGAAGACGACTGTAGGCCTTCCACTCGTCCGTCACCACTATACTTCCCTTGGCTACCCATTTCGTTATCACGGAACGCAGAGCAGGCCAACTTCTATCGTTGACCTCCTCAAATAGTGCTTTGCATTGGCTTGTGTCGTACATCCCGACTAGCCACCATTGTCTTTTCCTCTTGCCAACATTATACTTGCGTCGACTTATTAAGGTTTCGTCGATTTGCACTTCGACACCAGGTCCTCCTATTTTCTTCGTCTGCTTAAGGAGCGCAGCTGAGCAAACATTCCGACACTGGGCATACCACTGAACAGCTGTCGAGTTGTTTACACCAATGTCTTTGGCACATTCGCCAACCCGAATTCCTTTCAAAAACCAGAGGACAATCTTCAGGATAGTCGTTAGCGTTAACCGACTATTTTCAAATATACTTCCCACTCTTAAGGATTTCCTCTTCCGCCATCGAGGACATCGAAAGGCAACACCGTCCGAATATCGACTGCGTCCTTCCAGTTTCATCCACTGACGGCACTTGCACATCATCTGCATAGGCAACACTTTTCTCCGCAGGCAATATTCGATCACATTTTCCGATTTAATAGCATCCTATATTTGCTCCGTTTGGCTTCTATGGGTTATGATAGTTCGCGGTTTCCGTTTGTTGATTGCGTCTATCGATCTACAAAACAAAATTAGATTTACTTTTCTTAAAAATATCCTTATTACATATTCCTTGCTATGGCAACATACTAAGCATGTAATAAATTTAGGACATACTATTCCATCGTTGGGTATTTATCCAAAACACATTAGCATTAGCCTACCATTTACTTATTCACTTACTGTGGTATTTCGCCTCTCTCGATAAGTGCTTCACAGGTACTCAACAGCATAGCGTTCGAGGTCATGGCACACACGTTCACTAACTATCACCATCGACAGCCAACACACCAATTCTACTAGTTTACCATTCGTTACGGTACCTTGTACGTCTGATCACAGGTGCTAAATTGGTCCGCGGGTTGCTTAAAATGGTTTATGTGTACAGCACTGTTATTTGTTTCCTTTTCATTTACCGCGCCTACTTTCGTTGCCATATAGTGATGAAGTAAAACTTTATCATTTAAAGAGGAATTTCATAAAAAAATTCTTTCTATTATTCACATTTATCCACGCATCCGAAGGCCCAACCCATAAAACCCCTATTACCACCTATCCCGTAAGACAGGCTGCTTTGGTTGAGAGGAATTTTTTAGGTGCCATCTCCCATTTGTTACCCTAATTTGATTGTCGCTCAGCTTGCTTCCAAGACCTTACTTTGGGTGCACAATTAGCTGTCGCTACGCATATACATTTCGAGGGATGTTCCACAGGTTTTACCTTAAGTTTAGGCATTCTGAAGTTGTCGGTGCAGGTGTCCGTGCTTTTAACAAAATTTCTGTCGACAGTATGGTTGCAATGCTTACAAGGGGCAAATTAGGCTACCAGCTTTGCAGGTGTGAATGCCATGCAATTATTCCGCCGAGATTGGTAGTATTCAACCCAAACGACCACATATGTTTTAGAGCAGAAGATGACATTTTGTATTCCGAGGAGCTGACTCTAAGTCACACGGGCAGAGTGCTGGAGATGGGGAGCCGGTTAGCAATCGTGGGTGGTGGCGTTGTTTGAGGTTGGATATCTACCGCAGTGGCGCCAATTTTCAGTGTTAATCTTAAGGTAGCCAGGTGTGCAGGTGCGAGATGGCGGACCGAGAAAATGCGGGAGGGCGGCTGGTGCGTTATGTGTGAGGAAGCACATCGCGCGGTAGGATAGGAGCACTGGATTTGGGACGCATGAGATCGGGTTGATTGACGAGGTGGTGAAATGGACTAGTCGGGTCGGGATCAAGGACGCCAAGCTGAGGAGACGCCTAAGAGGAAGGCGTATCCGGACCTGGGCAGTGAATGCGGTAGTGTGACCATACAGAATGAACTTGTTGTCGATCAGACGACGACGATAAATTCTGCGCCGATAATGGGACACGGGATATCAGCAACTGCAGGACCAAGGGTAAAGGGCAATGAAGGCACCGACGGTCAACTGCTTCTGCAGGAATGGCGCTAATTTGCGCACCTGTGATGATGAAGAAACGGTTGTTTCAGACTCAAGAATTACGACTGACAATGAAACTGTCCGATGATTGGTTGTCCTGACCTCCGGTCTGGCTTGATTCATTAATGGGTCCTGCTTATAAATGAAATAGCAGGGACAAAACGGTAATTAGCTCTGGCGTCAAATGTGGTACGATAACAGCAAGTGATGGCTGTGGTGGGGAGATGAGTCAATAGGCTGTACCTACCGGGGAGATGTATTCGGTATAGCCGCTGTTTATCGGGCTTTGCAAAACTCACAATGGTGATCGTCGTTAACTTTCAGACTACTCAATGTCCGTTGCCGCGCCTAGGAGCACAACACACGTGCTAGTTTCTAAGTCCAGACACAGCAGTCTTCATTGAGGTCGCCTTCGGCCTCAAATGTGTGAGTGCCATACTGGCCATATTACTAGGGACGTTGTAGCCTGACAATCAGCCCGTAATGTGTTATTCGCACAGCCAGCAAGCGTGTCAAAAGTAGTTCAGAAGGTTGAGCATCCAAGGCGAATTTGAAGCGAGGGGTGGGCGTAGGAAGTTCAATTTCGCTCCCAGGCACTCGTTTTCTGGCTGTTTTACATTTTAAAAATTCGTTATAACAATTGCTCCTAACCACCATAAATAAATGTATTTATTCACATGGGAAACCGATCTTCTATTCACAAACGCAACAGTTGTAAGCTCGGAGAGCAGGGTGACCTACGGTTTCCTGTTCCAAATAATAGTGTCTTTTAGCACGAAATGGTAGAGTAATGGGTCGATAATCTATGCCTCATCTTGCGTACAAATCCAGTAAGTAAGAGCAAACTGGGTAGCTCTGTAGGAGACGCTGAATTGCCATTTAATTTCATTAGACTTTCACCTGGTATACACGAAACAGGATTTTCAACGGTGCTTCTCATCTCTCCCGAATATCACCTGTCAATACATCTACGTCACGAAAGCGCTAATAGCAAATTGTCCTTTATTCCAAAACTTTGCCTGCAGAAGACCAATTTTGCCACAAAACCGAACAAAAGAAGTGTATTTATCTGCGCGTAATGCCTGTGGACTTCGGATATCAGCGGGTAGAATGCATGCTGCGTCATATGTGCGATCGCTTGGCACATCGCTGGGCAGGCGAACCCTTTGTATTCCCTTGATTGTTTCCAACTCTGCAACGAGCCCCTATGGTTAGCGAATTTGCCTTCTCCTCAAAGCGCCCCTCTGCCGTATAACTCCCTGTTATAATTGTCTCGGGTCAGTCTAATTGGATTTGTCAGGATTGGTTTAAATGCATTCAATTTGTTGAGAGAGCCACTTTTAAGAGGATCACAATATTTTTGTGCTCACAGTTGCGGTTATCTAGTTTTCCGTGGCATTTTGTATTTCAAGGAGCTGACTTCAAGCCACACTAGCAAAGTCCTGAAGATGGGGAGCCGGGCAGCAGTTGTGGGTGGTGGCGTTGTTTGATTTTGGCTACTCGTCGCAGGGTCGCCAATTACCAGTGCTCATCTTAAGGCCAATGTGCACGGGCAAGGCTTAAGGGCAAATGCTCGAGTTCGAACTCGGCAGCCTGACGTGCAGGTGCGATACGGCGGTGTGTGAAAAACCACATCGCGCGGTGGGGTAGGGGTACTGGATTTGGGACGGATAGGATCGGGTTGATTGGCGAGGAGGTGGTGAAATGGACTAGTCGGGTCGGGGTCAAGGACGCCAGAGTTGAGGAGACGCCTCAATGGGAAGTGTACCCAGCCAGCGAAGGCGACGGTCTGGCCATACGGAGTGGACTACTGGCAGTCGAACAAAAGACGAAAATAAATTCTGCACCGATAATGGGACACGGGATATCAGCGACTGCAGGACCAAGGGTAAAGGGCAATGGAGGCACCGACGGTCAACTTCTACTGGATGAATGGCGCTGATTTGCGCACCTGTAATGGCGAAGAAACGGTTGTCTCAGACTTGAGAATTGCGACCGGGACTGGAGTTGTCCAAGGATCGGTTGTCCTGACCTTCGGCCCGGTCCGATTCATGTACTGACGCTGCCTAAAAATGAAAGAGAAGGGGCAAAAAGTAACCGACTTTGACGTCAAATGTGGTACGATAACAGCAAGTGGTGGCTGTGCTGAGGGAGTTGGGGAAATAGGCTGCATATATCGTGAAGATGTATTCGGTGTAGCTACTGATAGTGAAGGGAATCTACATCCTGAGGAGGTTTCAGTATTTGCGACTTCGAATCCAAAAGGCAGACGGAGGAGAAGCTGAGGAAATTGAAAGTGGGACGAGTGAGCGCGTGGCGGATACGTACATCTCCATCAGACGACTGGCGGTCTGTGTGGGACAAGCAGCCAAAAGATAGAGCCGGAGACTGGGCCAGAAGAGGGCGTCAAATGTGTTGCTTTGTTGGTTGAAGATTGTCCATTGTCATCCACTGGCTGTTTGAGGACTTAGCCACAGGCATGAGTATGTCCAACCCTAGTTCTAATTTGTTCCATGAAGATGCGCACGTAATTTTCCGGTTTAGGACTTGCAAATGTCAACAGAACCAGCAGCTTCCCTGAGCGCCTCGCAGTATTGTAGCCTCCCCGATGGTGTCATTCAGGAGGCGAAGACTGGAATGCACTTTTTATGTCACAACAATGGCTAGCACCAGTTTAATCATTAGGCTACATCAGGCTCTTATGGTGTTGGCATGCTCTGAAGGGGAATATTCATCGATACTTCGATGAATGAGCTGAGTGACATTTTTAAATTTTCTCCATGTTAAAGACTACTCCGGCTGAGAAGCTCTCGTGACCCCAGGTGAAATTCTCCTCATCTTACGAAGTTGAAGGAAGCGGTCATGTATGTGGGATGCAGCCATATGTCCGAACGGAGGCCTGCAGTCCTTCAATATTTGGGACTCGGCAGGATGTCAGCTTTTGAATACACAGCTTTTCAATCTCCTGTAGAAACCGTACTCGGCAAAAAATGATTACTTATGTAGCATGCATTTTTTCCCATTGATTTTTGATGGCCTTGCAAATTCAAATATATTTTATAGAAATTATGAACAAAGATATGCTTACTATCAGTCGTTTGATAGAGAATTGCGTCATCTTTACATTTTATACTCGAAGAAGAAGAATGATAATTAGGTTTTAAAAAGTTTTCTAATTGCCGTATAATTTGGAGCCTGGTCAGTCGTTGCATTAGCGCATAGCGATTTCAGTCCACAGGGTGCATTCGTACTGCATAAATAAAATCACATATTCTTCTATGCCTTTACAACATAAAACATAGAATCCATACAATTTGCAATGGATGCGGACTATGTCGTACATTTCACGAGGAGCAGTGGTGAACGGACAGGTACGATGCTAAATGCATGGACATTGCGCGGTCTTAAAAAATCTCATAATTAGAAACTTTTTAAAAACCTAATTATACTTCTTCTTCGAGCATAAATTATAAAGTTGACGCAATCCACTATCAAACGAAGGAAAGGAGGCATATTTTTGTTTAGTGTTTCTATAAAATCTATTTGAATTCGCGAGACCATCAATAATCAATGGGAGAAATACATGCTACATATGTTATCATTTTTTGCCGAGTACGATTTCCACAGGAGATTGAAAAGCTGGGTATTCAAAAGCTGACATTCTGCCGAGTCCGAAATATTGAAGGACTATGCTGTAAGCTAATCATTATTACAGTCGCGCCTATGTAATCGTTTTAATCGGAAACGCATTTCAGAATTTCAGCCAACAGCATAGAAAAGACTTGGGTTCATCCAACTGTCTAACCATCTGAGCTATGAGACGCCAACGGCAGAAGTGAGCTTAGTCACACTTTGGTCAAGTTACCCACTCCACCTACTGCAACGCATAAAATCCTCGGTGATATGTGTACATAGCTGTATGTGGAGTTTTCCACGCTGCAATACAACGTCACATCAGGGGAAATAGTGCAAGCCCTCATTTATGATGTTTTAAATGAATTTTCCTTCGTTTACACGCCGTAGGCTCCGATGATGTTTACCCTTCAGTGGCTCAGCCTTCCTGAGGCAGAGAATAGCTGCAGAGTTGATAACTGCAGCGGAACGCACTTTTACGCAGCAGAGGTGAATGTATACGCGTCGACCGAAAAAAAGCTTCCCGGGGAGCAAGTCGGTGGTGACGAAGTTTCATTCGGTGTATGCGTTTGCATGATACAAATCGGCAGTATGGGTGGTTGGGGAGCTTCAGGTGTACTGGGACAAGCTGAAGTAACATGACGGATGAGCCGACGTGTCGGGTAGGGGGGGAGAGGGCTACCTGAGGAACCTCGGACGATGATGATGATGGGGAGGAGTGAGAAGAGGATGAGGGGTGGCATTATGGGAGGGCGACAGGGGACAATGGTAAATAGGATGCCGCCACTGGAGTATCCGGAAGGGCAGACTTCAGGGTTTGCATACCGATGTCTTCTACATCCTTATCTCTACGTACTCGGAGGGTCACCACTTTCTACGACACATTTAGGAATGACCCCTCCTAGAGTTTCACCAGAGTCTTTTACACGCAGTCCTATCGTAGGACTACGTGCTGGCATGTGGTTATGACTGAACGCCGCGAGGCAAAACAGCAGAAAAATGTCGTAATAATTTCCGAAGGCGGTCTCGGAGGTCGATTATTACACCTTCATAATTCAGGCAGCAGGTTCCTCTGGGGTTTATATCTTGCTAAGTCTGATATATGCACCAAACAGTTGGGGGGCCCATCTTGAAAACTGTCAGCGGTGAACTAGAGATTGGAATGACACGTGGGCTGTCAGGGCATCGTCTTCAGCGCACGGTGGGCGCAGTGATGATGATCCCAACCGTATCTCAACTGACATTCAGAACAGCAAACTAAATCAACGAAACCCTTGCCGTAGGCATTGTTTACATTCGGGATGCTTAGTCCCACTGAAATCTCAGAGGTAAAACCCTGTGATATATCACGTCGTCTGAAATATTCGAGTACTCTGTTGCCACCTAACTGGGCAAAATGACATTATTGATGTCCACTTATGCAACGGATAGGGTAGATTGTGTGGTAAAATTAGGAAAAGTAGAGTTTGGAAATCAGCGGGTATCAGATTCACGCATCGGTCTGGTCGATCACTTACGAATCCACTGCACTGTGACTGGTAAACCACTACTAGGAGTCTCGATATACATTTGCCACACCCGCCTCCACTGTCCTAACTGTATACGCATACTCACTCACCGCAAGGAACCTACTCGGCGACATGCACCTCCATGTGAGGCAGCAGTAAACGGGCACAGGCCAATGCCCGAAACTAGACATATCACTTTCATATGCATCACACCAGAATCCATCCCACATCCGAGTGGCCCACGCCTTTGTGCGGAAACCTGGCGCGCCGTGAGGAGGTCGGGTTCTGGGTGGCACGCACGAACGGACTTTTTAGTTGTCAGCCACCAGCCGATGGTTCGACTCGGGCCTCGCAATCAACCTGGCGTGTGGAGTGGCGGACTGGTTAGCTGAGAGCCAGACTCAATGGCTGTTTCTTAATGGGGCCACTATTGCACTCTCGTGCATGCGTGGCCTGAGTCGTCGTCTACGCCCTTTGTGCGGAATCCTGGTGTTTTATTGGGGCGACAATGCCATATGTGGCACACACACAGTCGAGCTCACTAGCTCTGTCAGCCACTCTGCTCAGTCCCAGCTAGGAAAGCGGAATTATTTCCGAGAGGAGGAATATAGAATGTGAGGCTGACACTGCCAACGCACATCCATTACTCTGGACACTGACGCACTTTTAAGCTATCCGGGTGCGCTGGACTGGGTGATGAATAATATTAAAAGCATGCCTAAGTAGTCTTTTTCATCGAAAACACATTCCGAAATTTCGATCAACCTTCTTATAGTCTAGCATAGCTACGATACATTCACTTCTACTTTAGAGTGTTGGATGACAAAACTAGCGGTCAGTTCACAAGTTCGCATGCATAAAATGTAAGTACTTCTCCACTGGATTAGGAGCGGCAACGACGTGGTGAAGGGCATCACAATGAATAACGGAAGTAGATCATCGTTTCTGCAGCCCATTTTTGCAGTGTGGACCGTGCATGGACTGGTAACTGCCTGAAATTAGGATGTTTTGGGAAGAGGTACGTGACATACTGTTCGGTTATGCAGATGGGGTTAAATTTTTTGTCAATCCCGTCACCAGATCGCGTTTTTCCATATAGCTACTCTTTAAGCGACCAAAAGATGGCAGACTGCTGGCGAGGGAGGTTGTGGGTTCGCCACGATGAATAAGTCACTTCAGCCCTCCCATGTTGAGCCAATGTCCAAATGATTTGCGGCGGTTTAAGACATGTTTCTCGCGGGTAACTTGCGAATATAAATCCGGTTCAATCGTCTTTCCTTCACATCTTTCGGACCATCTTAAATTAACAAATATTCCATCTGCATCGGATGAATAATAAAATCTAAGGTCACTGTTTGCACATATGATATACCGATGCCGTTTTTTTTTAAGCTTCGATGGTGCTCCTTTTTACTTGAGTCAATTGACGCACACATGTTCGGGATTCGGTGCCTACAATCTTCAATTATCTCTTTGCTGTTTTTAATGATAGTATAGATTCGGAAGGCAAAGACCACAATCAAAGGTGTTTGTCAAAACAACGCGCTCCATGCAAGGTGCGGTCATGATTGCCGCAAAATATTTCCTGGCAGTTCGTAAGTGAGCGGAGATCCGGAAGAATGAGATTTATCGATTGCGAATTGAAATTTCCAGTACTCAATAACCGAGGGATAACCTGCGGAATCTATCGTGGACATCTGATCTTCATTTTCTCCTTTGCGTTTCGAGAGAAGGCCATTAGCTGTCCCAACACAGTCTAATCATCGCTCCTGACGATTCGTCCAATGCCTTAATTTTAACACATTTTGTAGGATTTCAACATTCACATGTTAGCAGTGGTATTGCAACCAGTCTTATTTGAAGACGAAGATAGGCTCTCCGGAAGAGGTTTATTTAAGTGCTGACGTTTCAAAGAGCTGGGTCGGCTCTTCATTGTCAAAGCAGAAAATGCACTTAATCGATCAGAAATTTAATTTAAAGTGGCAGTTGTGTTGGCCGGCCTCATGCTGATCGATTTTTTTCCTCCTCTCGATGCCTCGGCCTCTCGGGAGATGGTTGACGGGCGTTTTGCCTGTGTGCATTGTGAGTCACCACTCCGTCGAGGGGAACTGATTGGGCTTTAGTCGGGCGGTCGGTCTGGCGGTTCTTCTTCTTCCTCACCGAGTAAACTCAGCGTCGGGCTATCTCCGTGCGGCCTTCTTAAGTCCGGTGTGGTTGCTTGGTCCTGAGCTCTACGATTGTGATGACGTAGGACTTTGTAAGCTGCAGGAAGGTCCAGATGCCTGTTAATAGAGTGGGCATCGGAGAACCACGCCTCGAGAGTTAACCGTTCTATTTTTGTGTTGCCTCGGCCTAAGATGGTAGCCCTCTGGAGGTCAAAAGTATGCCCCGTTTCTCCAACATGTGTTGCTAATTGAAAGTTAGGGTCTAACCTCCGAGTGGCCGATTTGTGTTCTTGTAGACGAGTTTGCAATTTCCGCCCGGTTTCGCTCACATAGTTGCAGTCGCCCTCATTGAAATTTATTTTGTAGATGACTGCTGAGGTTTCAGCGGGTGTCAATGGGTCCTTAGGTTGCATCAGGTGACGTCAAATTGTTGCTCGTAGTCGATGGGCTATGCCTACTCTGGTGGGTTGTAACAGTCGCGAGACCGCTTCAGAGACCCCTTTAACGTAAGGAATGGCCCTCCAGACTTCGGGTTGCTGCTCATTTGGCCGTCGTCTGGGCGCCCAACGTCTGCTTCTGGGATAACCATTGGCTGCAAATAGGTTTACAAGGTACAATCGTTCGGCCCTTTTATCTTCTGGTGTGCTGCAATGTGTTTCGACTCTTTAGAATAGAGTGCGGACACAACTGTGTTTGTGAGACAGAGGATGGTTGCTGTTGAAGTGTAGAATCTGTCTCGTGTCGGTGGATTTTCGGAATACTGTAGTTTGCATCTGTCCAGTGGTACACCGGCGCACAAGTACGTCAAGGAAAGGCAGTCGGTTATTTGTTTCCGCTTCCATCGTAAATTGGATATCCGGGTCACCCGAGTTCAGTAGTTCCTTTAGGTGTTCAATGTCAGTTGTTTTGACAATGACGGAAGTGTCATCGACATAGCGGGTCCAGAACTTTGGTTGATACTTGGTGAACACCAAATGTTCTACCCGTTGAAGAACTACTTCAGCGATTAGGCCTGATATAGGGGAGCCCATAGGAGTGCCCTTTATTTGTACGTACATTTGTCCGCCGAAGGTGAAATAGGTCTTGAGACAGTATCGCAGAAGCTCGAGCAGATGCTCAGACTTCAGGACTTTGTCTCTCTCCTCATATCGCTCTGCCAGTAGTTGGTCCACAACGTCTATCGCTAGTTGCTGCAGAATGGAGGTGAAGAGCGAAACGAGACCAAAGGATACCATGGACTCGCCTGGCTCTAACCTCAAATGTTTTATGCGTTCGAGGAATTGATACGCAGAAGCTACTGTTTCAGCTCAGGACCAAACAACCACACCGGACTTAAGAAGGCCGCACGGAGATAGCCCGACGCTGAGTTTACTCGGTGAGGAAGAAGAAGAACCGTCAGACCGACCGCCCGACTAAAGTCCAATCAGTTCCCCTCACATGGGACGGAGAGCAAGAATACACAGAAAATGGGTAAATTTCTGCTGAAAGTCTTATCATACGCCGTCATTTGGCAAAGAAAGTGAGCTTGATAGTCAAAAAATAAACAAAACAGTCATTTTTCAATAAATGACGGACATTGAATGAAGCGTCGCTGGTAAGCTTACGTTTAGTCAAGAAAGGAAAAAAATTTCAAAGAATGCGAACGGTGAATACTAGGTAATGTTTACAGTCACACTAAAGTTTAGGGTATATTTTTGTAGTTTTCATCTACCTGTGCGTCTTACACCCTATACTTACCCCACTGAGCGTGGCAAGTTTTTAGTCAGCTGCTTTAGGTTCGTGTCCGCATAATTGCTTTGTGAAAATCTAATTGCTGAGTGATGCACAGATTTCCTTGACTGACGCAGTCCTAAATTGACAGCTAAAAACTTCCCTCACGCCCAATTTGGAGATTAATTTCGCAACCAGTCGATCTTTTCAAGAAGTCTTCCTTCAGCTGTTGCGTAGAGCATCACATAAATTACGTAGCCCTCGCGCAGATTGGTTGCGAAAATATCCAATCAGTTTACAGGCTGTGCTGACTCCATGAGTCACGCTGATCTTCCAACGGCAACTGAATACATTCTGTTTGAGCGTCTCTGGTAAACATGCTGAGCAGATCGGTGTCAATTAGAAAAAGCCTGTCGTGACACAATTAAACTAACCACTGAGGATAACTCTGTTAAAGGGATAAAAAAAAGTGGTTTGTGATGGGTGTGGAAGTTGAGAAACTGTTCTGCTCAATGTTCTTTTGAGAAGACCAATCTAGGTAATAGGTGGAAACCCACAGTCTGGTTTCTTTGAACTAAAGTGACTGACGGATGTGTCTGTGAAGGCTCCCTCTCATTCCTGCGCGTCTTCCGACATCTAAGACTGGTTTATGGTGAACTGCCCGTTTTCAGCCTGTGACGCGTCAAAATTTGTGTAAAATTATACAGTGAGTGATCGATCTCATGAAATGTTGGCTGAAATTCTGAAATGGGCTGTGGACTGAAAAAAATTGTCTAGGTGGGGTTGTAACACTATCTCGCTGCATAATCCTATAATATTTCGACTCGCCAGGATGCCGGCCTTTGAATGCACTTCTTTTCTGCCTTCTGTAGAAACCGCTTTCTTCTATTCATTTGGTAGAAAACTACATTGTCTTCACATTTCATATTCAAGGAAAGGATATCTTTTGGTTCTGAAAAGCTTTCTCATTACTAGACTTTTCTAAGCGTGCAATGTCCATTCATACACCATCGTACCTGTCCGTTTATTAATGCTCCTCAGGAAGTATTCAACATAGCCTCCATCCATTGCAAAACTCTATGAACCCTATATGATATGCTCTCAAAGGCAGAGACAAATATATGATTTTCCTTAAGCGGAAAGTATGCACCTTGTAAACTGAGATCGCCAAACGCCAATGCAACGACTGATCTGGCTCAAAATTATTCGGGAATTGAAAAAGATTTTCAAAACCTAAAGATATCCTTTCCTCGACTTCAAATTGCGAAGACAATATAATTTTCTACCGACTGAGTAAAAGAAAGTACATTTTTGTGCATGTTTTCTATAAAATATATTTGAATTTATAAGACCATTGAAAATCAATGTGAAAAATGCATGCTAATTAAGCAGTCATTTTCACCGAATGCGGTTTGAAAAAGAGGACGAAAAGAGGTGCATTCAAAGGATGACATCCTGGCGAGTCCGAAATATTATAGGATTATGCTGCAAGATAATTAATGTTACAACCCCGCCTAACTAGTCCTTCCCAGTCAAAAGCACATTTCAGAAATTCGGCAAAAATGTCATAAGATCAGTCTGCCACTGTAGGCCTTCTAGAATGTGACTATGAGCTTGGAAGAAAGCATCGCTATCTACTGCAGAATATTGACAGTTAAGTGAATAGATTTTCAAACTAGGGGATTATGCACCGTCTTATCGCAAAGTTAGCAAAAGTGCGCACATCTCCTTTGAACGCAACTATATATATATATAATGGTGGGAGGGGATTACCGACCGTTTTTACCGAACTCTACGGGACAAGTGAGTTCCGTAAAACGATTGGTGAGCGCCAACCAACCATTGAATATCCACGATCGCAACCAACAGGAAAACGAGCCCGTGGCTCAACGATTAGAGGCGTTGGACTTCTAACCAACAGGTCGCGGGATCGAGCCCCAGGTGTTCCACACTTCGGGGTTGGATATGACTGGCTGACGACGACTGGTAAGCCAGCAATGTTCACTCCAGTCCCCCTTGTCTTTGTCGGTCATGATGTTCAACATATATATTTATTGAGATTGGGGTGGCTCATAAACCGGAATCCACTATCAGGCAGCAGATACTGAGACCCAAAGACTCGCTACCGACAAAGGAACAATCAGCAGAGGTCTACAGCATGCCGTGCCACAATTGCAGTGCGAGGTATGTTGGTGAGACGGGGAAACGTCTCTGCACAAGACTGCAAGAGCACCAGCAGGAAAGGACACCCCACCACTCTGATGATGGAAACGAGGAAGTTTCCGAAATGTCAGCACCAACACAGTGCGGTCCATGCAATAGCCTCTTTTTCTTCTCCGTCTTTATTTGGGGATGATGAACGGGATAAATATGTATATACATACATGCAGTACGTGACCTATCTCATGAAATCTGTTAACGGAATCTGATGGGAGAATTTCTGGACGCCTTTAACGTACCGCAGTAGCTGATGGATTTCAGCTCAAATATTCATATCAAATTTCGGACCGTGCCTGAAAAGGCCTGTTTCGAAAGAGTTACTCCAAGTTGGCGCATTAATTTACTCGGAAATTAAACAAGGCAAGTAGCGCATTTTGTTCGCTCATCCACATCCTTCAATGAAATGTCCTTTTCTTGTTCAGAAATTGTGTTTACGTAATTATGTCAAGTAAAATACCAGTAAATTTTATCGAAAATAGACGTTGGAATATATGCGAGCAATTTCCTATGCTAATACATGTCCTAGACTCCAGTTACGCATCTGAGCGACTTTTTCATTGAAAGGGTAGTAATTTATTCGCGAAAGTTTTTATAAACAGATTTAGCCGGACTATAAATTTTATTCTATGGTCGATGTTAACCATGGTGATCAACCTGCTAACAAAGAGGTTGTTTTAATGAAACCAGAGGCTTTGTCAATTCCTAAGTGTCCAATTAGTAGATATGTGAAATTTGGTGCCCTATATGCAGTAATAACGCAGATAGGGATTCCTTCGTTTAAATGGGCTGAAATTGTTTTGCCGTTTGGAAAATTCTGCCTGATGTCGCAAAGATGACCACCACGCAATGGTCATTTCCAGCTTTAAACATATGAAATACTCCTTGTCGAGCATTTTAGCTTCTGCGCATACTTTATTCAGAAATAGGACGAGCAAAACATTAATAGTTTATCAAAATATCAACATTTATATGAGCGCTCTGCCGTGCATTCATAATCGAATGACGGAGTCTAAAAGCGAGCAAAAACAGTGGAAATGGCCTCAGTGTATAGAGTAAGGTATGTTCTTGCGTTTATGGTAGAAAAACATTAGTACTTCCTAGGAACGTGAAAGAAACCGCCAAAAGTGTCAAATTTTTACTTGGCCTCGCCGTGCAAAATGCAAAGTACACAGAGATCCGTCAACGGTGTGCAGTAATAAAGCACTTCCTAAAGAGGTAACTTATTAGGGAAAGTTTTCTCATTGATCCAAGACATATTCGTATAAATTAATTTAACGAAAGAAAAGTTCTCTCTATAAACACAAAAAGGCATGTTTACGATCACACATGTCAGTTCTATTTAAGTTTATTAGGCACCGACCGGCCTCATGGCATGTCACCCTACGAACACTTTTGATCCTACGACGTCCCCTTCGGCGAAATCAAGCAAAATCCACCTTCTCTTGTTGAACCCCATCTCATTTAACTCCGAATAGTCAAGGAAAAATTGAAACACTGGAAAACTGTTTTGGAATCTACACTCAGAATGCTGATAGTTGACAAACCGTCATATATGACAACACAATACTTATTAAACGATATTTAGATGTAAATTTCACTAAAACACTGTTATTAGACGTTATTTTATGTCTACTTTCATATTCACTGCGTTTTTGGTAGGAGAAGACATTATATACGTCTAAAAGCGAACTGTACTTAGAGCCATTTCTGACATTTTGGAATATTGCGCTTTTCAAAATAAATCGACAGTTCTAAACAACGCAACACTGCTTATAATATTTCTTACATATTTTTAATTTTTTTTATGCTTGTACTTAATTAACATAGACATTTGGCTCATGAAGTGGTGTCGGTTTGCGAGTGATTGGCAATCATTCGTAAATTTCGACACATTTCATGAGTTAGGTCACTAACTCTATGTAGTACTGGCTGACGACGGCCAAAAAGCCAGAAATGGCCATTCCACTCTCCCTTATCTATGTCGTTAATACCATTCTGACTATATCATGCGCCTCTGTAAGGCTGCTGGATGAACTCTAGAGAAAGCCCTAAGGCATAACGGGACGAGTTGGTTCCGCAGAAATGATCGGTGAGCGCCCCTCTACCATCATATATAGAATCATGTAATGACATCCTACCATCATATATATATCTATACATATACAGTAGGTGGGTTAACTCATGAAATGTCAACCGAAATTCCGAAATGCGTTTTCGTTTCGAAATGATTAACTAAGTAGAGCTGTAAATCTAATCATCATGCAACGTACTTCTATAATAACACAGTTACCACAGGATGCCGGCTTCGAATGAACTTCTTTCCATCTACAGGCAAAAACTGCACTCTGTAGCCAATGACTACTTAAGTAGCATGCATTTTCTCGTTGATTTCCGATGCGCCTGGAAATTCAATCACATTTCGTGGAAACATATATAAAAAATATTCGTTGTTTCGCTCATTCGATAGGGAATTACGTCTTCTTCCAGTTTTATACTCGGAGGAAGGGTATAATTTGGTTTTCAAAAAGTTTCTAATTGTGAGATTTTTTCACTCTGTGAAATGGCCGTTCATAAAACGCCGTGTCTCTGCATTTACCAATGCAGCTTGTAAGGTTGACAATATGGTTCAAATCCACTGCCAAATTTTATGACCACCATATGGTCTCATCTTAATACTGTAGAGAAATATATGGTTTTACGTACACGGAAATTATACGGCTTGTAGTTGGGAAACCCCGAATGCAAGTGTAACGGCAGGTTGGGTTCAAAATTATACGGGAATTGGAAAAGTTTTGCAAAACCAAATTATACCCTTCCCTCGAGTGTACAGTGGAAAAACGACATAATTTTCTACTCAATGAACAACATAATGAATGAAAACGCACTCCGAAAAGTCAGTTGACATTTCATGAGTTAGCCCACCGAATTTAAGCATATATTCCGGGCTATATTTCTTGGGATGTCTACTTTCCACTGTGAAAGCTCGACCGTCATTGCTGAGGATGTCCACTGTGTGTTCCCCACAAAGATGCAACAGGCATGGCGACATGTGTATGAGTTAGTTCACAGTGATACTAACTCACCCAGGATTTCAACACTGGCAATGAATTCCATATTCCTGTAATCGTCACTTAGATATTCAATATTTCATATTTGTGTCATAGAGTACCGGCACGTCCGCCAATGATGCGAACAGAGCCCATCTTAACTAAAGCACAGTTAATGGATAGTCTCTTGACATTGGAGAGATGATTGTGTTTTGGCACCGTGGTAAATGCACAGTCGACTTAAGTAACGGTCGCAGAACCTAATAGACTTATATCTGACAGTCATGGAATCGTCGCGAGACCCTACTGTTCCAAGCTTTGTCGGAGAACCTTTAACCTCGTCCTTAGCGTCATCTCCATCCCAATGAAAAGGCAAGAATGTATCGGGATAGTTTGGACAACGTGAGGCAAGACTGTGTTTTGTCCCGAGGATCTCGACTATGGACTATGCCTATGCTAAAGGCCTCACCAATCTGGTTTACACTATTAGAGTGTCAGATGCAACGCAGTTGGGATTCCCGTTGTCAGGACATCCATCTGTATCTGATAACTCACGCAAGATCCCGGGTGCCAGTGCAACACTGCGACTTTTGAGGATGTCCCCGACTAATTGACGGATATGGCAGCCTTGTTGAGAGATAATTCTTGGAATAGACCGCTACTAGAATGAGGAATGTGCAACGATCTCCGTGCAACACAAGGGAACGTGAGCGGAATATAGGAATTGTCTGCAAATGCCAATTAACCTACCGGTTCTCTCTTGTAATCTAAAATGGCGCACTACATGCAGAGGCTTCCTATTGGCTTAGATAACCTGAGCGATCTCTTCAAACAAGTGTGGTTTCCGAAAAGGCAACGTTCATTTCTGCACTACATTATTCCCACAAAAGTGCCTTAGAGAGATTGGGCTGTCGCAGTCGATGCTTACTCCAGTTGGTCAGCAAGATATCTTTCAACGCATCATTTTTTCGGTACTAGAGTTGGAGATTTTGTTGTCTCCATGTGACTTCTAACGAAATGGACACTGATTTCATCTCACACTCTACAAGTACTATCTGAAAGAATGGGTGCGTCTGGAATCTTCTGGGGAGAGTGGCAGAGTTCCCTCTCTTGCACAAAACATGATTTTCAGTGACACCGTCCATCACCGCAAAATGCATTTGATCAATGCTGCAGTGTATGTTATTCCGTGTCGTCTAGGTAACATCTGTACTGTCTGTCTCACTTGCGTTCAGAGAATGCATCTCCGGCACGAATGTACCAGAAGCAGGAAGAACAAATTCTTCAGTCATAATTCCATCTTCCAGAATGAAAACAGACCTTGCAGAGCTGAAAAGGCCACTCTTTCCAAAACAACGGCCATTTGGCCAAGATCAACAAACAATCCAGTCACTTCACATATTTTCTCGTACTAACAAAGATAGTCGGAGTTGGTCACCAAAGTCGCCACCCAAATGCAAGTGGTGATTGGAAGGGCTAACAGAGTGCAGCATAGCATTGACGTTTAATGAATGGGAGTGATTGTTCGCTACAAGTTCCACGCTCACTAGGTTACGCAAAATGCTGCATATTTCGAACCAAAACGAAGAAGATGCTTTTTAGTATCCTCCTTAATCAAAAATCAAGATGGCTTGTTTTAACCAACCCTAAGAAATCGTTGTTCGAAGTTCGTAGAGTAGGGTACTGCGGGAACTGTATTGAAGCCTCCAACATAGGGCATAGAAGACGTTTTCTATGGACTGAGATTTGGCGATCAGTAGGGTTTAGTAAATCCAAAATATAGGGACCGCTGTTGTCGAGACCAAAGAAACATCCGATTAATTTGGTAGCGGGTGATGTACTGCAGAGAACGAAGAAAATTGGCAGAGAAGGACGTGGCCTACTTAATTACGCTACGACATAAGATGGCGGATATTTCTTCCCAAGTTCGCAGGCTTTCGCGCCCTTAACGCTGGCTTTTCGCAAAATTTGGCGTGCAAATGATGTCAGCTGCGCTTTCATTTGAAACATCACTGAGCGAGCGACTCCCCATATCCCCTTGATTTACTCGAACTCTACAACGAAACTGCGTTTTTGGTTAGATTTTCTTTCTACGGCATTGCCATGACTCTCCGGATTAAGTCCAGTGGACTTTGTCGCGATTGGTTTTCATGCATCCAATCAGTTGAGAGAAAGATGTCTAGGTGGACCACTAATCTCAATGCCTACAGGCATGATTGCTGCCATTTCCGAGACGTGCATCAGACGATCTTTTGAAAACCAAGGAGAGCAGGATATGTAGCAACTCGTGATACCAGACGAGGTCAGTCCTTTTATATGAACAAACTGCCTTTGCTGAACCGCTAGATCCGATTGAATATTTGCAGTTAGATATAAGTCCACGTGATAGCAACTGTCCCCACATTGTCAATTTTGTGACATCTGGGGCGAAATAAATGCTGTGGGAAGACAGGGGCTGTAATATCCACTTTTTAGGCATGTTTTACTTCGGAGTACGCCACTGGGTGTCTATGAGCAAGTGCACAGATAGCTCAACTGCTCAGACTCTCACTGAACACTTGATAAGTTGCATCCAGTCAATTGCAATCAATAGTAAGATTTACTTTTTAATGTCACACCTCCTCTAAGACACCTAACTGTCTCGTGGAAAAGAAAATTATGATAGATGGAAGTATAGAGTAAAAGTGACTATTGTTGATAAGCTCAGTCTTCTATTTTCTGTTTGAAGTCTAGATTCTCAGGAATCCAATACTGTCTGCCGAGATTAGCCGGTATCTGTCGAGGAAGGACCGTCTGAATTGCAAGAGCCTTATACCTACATGGGATCTCCTGACCACTCGAATCCTTGGACTAACGCCAGATGTCTGCAGCAGGCAAGTGCAACTGTTTGGCACACTTCATGATGCGCCCCAAGGAGTCGAGATCGTCACTCTGGATTTTGCTGCCCGTCGAGGAAAATACGTAATTCAAATTTTATCCACCGTTTCCGGCCCCGCTGGTATTGGACTCGTCAATCTGACTACTTTGGAATTCATGAAACAACCAATCAGCCTTGGAGAAATGGGTGTGCTCCTGGCTAAGTGTCCAATGCCTCGCTTACGCAATCTTTCCCTCTCTGTCGCTGTAAGTGACGTCAGACCGTCGATCACTAAGTGCTTGAAATGTGAGCTTAAGCTGCTGGAAGTGGCTATCCGATTTTTTGGATGTCTGCCGTCGTGCGAATTGCTGCTGTTAATCCAGAGCTTTGGCGACTTACACAGCCTTTCTCTAGACGACTCAAAAATCAATGGATACCGCCACATCGGCTGGCGCAGAGTCTGGGAAAGTTATCAGACTCGCATTCCACAATGGACCTCCCTTCAGATTCACCGCAAATCAGAACTACTCGATTTGTTCCTGGGTGAAAGTAGGTCCCATTATGAACTCTCAGAATTGACCCTATTGAATGCGCCAGGCCACTTCTTCCCAAAGAAGTACATTACAGAATTCCCCGTAGTACCCAGAATTGTCACATACCACACGCTTAACAAACCCCAATTCCGTACCCTCCAATTTTGCAGAGCCTGTCTCAGGGCTAAGGACAGATACAACATGCCCAGCCTGCAATGCCCATCAGCTGACACTGTTCATGACGATGAGTCACCAGTGAATTTCGTTGCCTGCTCTCTCATGACTGTCGAGGACAACTGCCTCCTTCATCCCATCAACCTACGTGACTTGTACATTCATATAAGTCCTCGTGGAACGACCTCATGCACAACTGTGATGAATTCTTCTGCCCCCCTTGCGTCCTCTGTAAGTAGAAGGCGAACAGCAGCAAGGGGTTAAGTGGAAGCCCTAATTCAGCATCGATGCTCTGAAATCCGTCGTCTATGCATTCGTTTGTGCAAGCCTGGAAATGATGCGCGTAAAGGAAACTACGTCCAGGAGATGCCGTCTCTCGCGAGAGATTGGTTCCTCCCAATCATTAAGAAGTGTGGTCCAAATCTCCAGTCTCTGGAAGTGTCCGCTGAGCTCATTACGGCCTGTTGCTCCGATGTGCTAACAAAAAGACGGCACCTCCGACTGCAGGACAAGTGCTTAAATGTTCGAAAGGCGACTGTGATTGCCGGTGGTGATCTGGTCGAGCGACAACTGCGTCCATCCGCGCAGAATATTTCCACCTACTTGAGTCTCTTTCCGGCACTGAAGGAAGTGCGTATTGTTGCCATAGACATCTTCACTGAACAGATTATTCCAGAGATCCTGACTACCTGTGGTTATCTTCGGCGTCTCTACATATATTCCCTGAGGAATCTTACCTTTGACTTTGCTTCGCTTCCATCGCATAATGCCCTCGAGCTACTCTTCATCGACTTAAGTAGATTTTGTGCGAAGGATCGTTTTGATAGAGTTTTGAAAAAAACACTTTCGAGACTTCGCTCGCCCAGATACATCCTGTTTAGGGTTGATCGTGGAAGATATCCGTTCGAGAAGACCTTGAGAGCCTTCTTCGCCGACAGGCCTGAATTGCGGTCGTTGGTTGTAGTTTTCAAAAGACACCGCACCACACTCTTATGTCAGGCCAACGGGAGCTCTGCTGCAGATCCAGAAATTGTTAAATACCCCACTGCCTACTTGGGTAACCTTATTCACGCCTATCCAGAGCTTTACGACATATTTTGGAGTGAATTACAGCGAATTCATAAGCGCTTCCTATACAAGCCCTAGTTTTATTATGAGATACAAACTGGCGAGTAGCCTTCCGTTTATTATTGTTCCTTGATTTGAATGTACGGACGCGGCTTCCGACGCCCAGCATGCCCATCCATCATAACTGCCACAACCCCCGCCACCGTTCCCCTCTCCATCATCATCATCATCATCATCATCATCATCATCATCATCATCATCATCATCATCATCATCATCATCATCATCATCATCATCACCACCACCACCACCACCACCACCACCACCACCACTGTTCCAAGCACTAGCACTGCAGACTCGCTTCCAACCGGTCCGCATTGCGTACGCACCTTCACATCAAACATCGGCTCTGCCAGTCCATTGTACTGAGACTGGCAAATCAGTGTCAGGAGCACCAGCGCACAGCCGCTGTATCCGCCTACCACTGCCCATTTGCATCCAAGCACCGCATGGACCTACTTGGCCATATGCGCCTCCACGTAAGTATGCGGAACTGGGCCTTAGTTAAAATCCTATCACCGTGAATATCTTCACCAACCCAGACACTCCCCACAAACCCGCCTCACATCACTGACTGCAAGCACAGAATAGGCACCTCTGTCGCAGTTCGAGAGACTCTTCCCTGGCACAGTATGATGCGCGACCAATCCGTGCGTGACGTACGTGGACACACTCACGCGGTTCTGACAGCCACTAAGTCCAATCCTAAGGCCGCGCTTGAGTCTATCATGACGCAGCAAACATAGCGACTTGGAATTTTGCCAACTGAATGTACAACTCAGAGCGCACTGTCAGCCTTGTGTGCATGGGGAATGGCTGAATGATGCGCTGAGAGTCAGGCTAGAGCGGCTTCTACCCATGTGGCCTCTATGGCACTCTCACGCAGGTGAGATGCGGTCCGCCCACCCCTTTGTGAGAAAGCCTTGTGTAGGCGTGGAGCCAGGTCGTGCGGGGTACACGTACACAGGCTACTGAACTCTGTCAATCCCTTGAATCAAATCCCTCCGTTAGATGGCTGGTCGGGTCGGACAGTGGGCCGTAGCATATGGCACAGAATCCATCCACAGGGACATTTAACGCCTTCATCTCGGAATCAAAAATAACCCGTTCGAGTTCGGCCTCACGTTTAACTCACCTCACTTCTACTTCGGCTATACTTAAGGCTTTGACTGTTTTAGTGGAACTACGACTACTAATAGAAACCTTCTTACCAGGGCCGGGCCGGACGTCTTTCGTCAGCTCTTCATGTCCTTCGAAGCACCTCGTTTGTCTAGTCCGATAGACTCTTCCGTACCGTCTGTTTCATTCTACATGGAACGCGTCTGCATTTGGTGAGATTAATTGGCTAGATCGCAGTTGATAGCCAGGACCTGTATTATAGATTGCGGGGGGTTTGTTTACTGGGGCTATTTTGTGGGGCTCCATAATCACACCTGACCCATTTTGCCTCTGTTTTACGTTTGATGTTAGAATTTGGGTACTGGTTAACGGTTTCCGATTTTCGGGTTACGGTTAGGGTTTGAGCGTACGATTAGGTTTCAGTATTACGGTTAGGTTCTTCACTTACGGCTATGTCTAAGGGCTACAGTTACGTTTAAGATTCCGCCGAGATTGATAGTATTCGATCCAGACGACCACATATTTTTTTAGATCAGAACATGACATTTTGTATTCCGGGGAGCTGACTGTAAGTCACTTGGACAGCAGTCGTGGGTGGTGGCGTTGTTTGAGGTTGGATATCCACCTCAGGGGTGCCAGTTTCCAGTGCTAATCTTAAGGCAGCCAGGCGTGCAGGTGCGAGATGGCGGGCCGAGAAAGTGTTAGAGGGCGGCTGGTGGGATATGTGAGGAAGCACATCACGCGGTGGGTAGAGGCACTGTATTTTGGACGGATAGGTTCGGGTTGATTAACGAGGAGCTGCTGAAGTGGACTAGTCGGGTCGGGGTCAAGGACGCCAAGCTGAGGGGACGCCTCAATGGGAAGCGTACCCAGCCAGCGAAGTCGACGGTCTGACCATACGGACTGGACTACTAGCAGTCAGACAGAAGACGACAATAAATTCTGCACCGATAATGGAACACGGGCTATCAGCGACTGCAGGACCAAGGCCAAAGGGAAATTGAGGCACCGACGGTCGACCGGTATTTGAGAAATGACGCTGATCTGCGCGTCCGTAATGACGGAGAAAGGGTTGGCTCAGACTCGAGAATTGCGACTGGGACTGGAGTTGTCCACGGATCGGTTACCCCGACCTTCGGCCCGGTCCGATTCATGTACTGACGCTGCCTAAAATGAAAGAGCAGGGGCAAAACAGTTACCGGGTTTGGCGTCAAATGTGGTACGATTCCAGCAAGTGATGGCTGGGCTGAGGGAGTTGAAGAAATAGGCTGCATCTCCCACAGGCGACTGACGATCTGAATGAGCTGAGCAGCCGACAGATAGAGCGGGAGACTGGGTCAGAAGAGGGCGTCAAATTTGTTGCACTGCTGGTTGGAGATCGCCCATTGTCGTCCACTGGCTGTGTGAGGACTTAGCCACAGGCGTGAGTATGTCCAACCCAAATACTAATTTGTTCCATGAAGACGCCCACGTAATTTTCTGGTTTAGGACTTGCAAATGTCAACAGAACCAGCAACTTCCCTGAGCGCCTCACAGTATTGCAGCCTCCCGATGGTGTCATTCAGGAGGCGAAGACTGAAATGCACTTTTTATGTCACAACGATGGCTAGCGCCAGTTTAATCATTAGGCTATATCAGGCTCTTATGTTGTTTGCATGCTCTGAAGGGGAATATTCATCGATACTTTGATGAATGAGCTGAGTGACATTTTTAAATTTTTTCCATGTTAGAGGCTACTCCGACTGAGAAGCTCTCGTCATCTTACGAAGTCGGCGGAATCGGTCATGCATGTGGGATGCAACCATATGTTCGAACGGAGGCCTAGGGTCTTTCAATATTTCGGACTCCGTAGGATGTCTGCTTTTGAATACACTGCTTTTCAATCTCCTGTATGAGTGTACTCGCAAAAAAGGATTACTTAAGTAGCATGCATTTTTGCCATTGATTTCTAATGGTCTTTCAAATTAAAATATATTTTATAGAAACCATGAACAAAATACGCTTTCTTTCAGCCGTTTGATAGATAATTTCTTCATCTTTATATGTTTTACTCCAAGAAGAAATATATTAAGGTTCTAAAAAAGTTTTTTGATTGTCGGACATAAAGCCACACTTAGGCGTACCACTGCATCCCCTGGTCCATAGCAAACACTTGACCAAGATTTTCCCCAACGACACACACCACTTTCATATGCATCACACATGAATCCATCTCAAATCACTCACTGGAAGGACAACACAAGCATCTTCCATTTAAGTGTGAGGTGTGATTTTCCGTTCCTTTCCCATGAGGTCTCCTCGTTACGCCAATATATGTTAGGTCGATTCCTCCAGCATATATTCCTCATTGTAGACAATCTGATACGCTTGAATGTATCACGGTTCGCCAAAAGTTGTGGCTTCTAAGGTTACCAACTGATGGTTCGACTCGGACCTCGCAGTCAAGCCTGAGTATTTGTGTGGAGTGGCCGACTGGTTAGCTGAGAGCCAGACTTAATTGCTCTTTTTTACTGTGGCCACTATTGCCTTCTCGTGCATGCGAGGCCCGAGTCGTGCACCCCCCCCCCTCTTTGTGCGGAATCCTGGTGTTTTATTGGGGCGACCATGCCATATGTGGCACACACACAGTCGAGCTCACTAGCTCTGTCAGCCACTCTGCCCAGTCTCTGCATCAGACACCTGACCGGATAGGACAGGGGACAGATTCCCGAGAGGTGGAAGATAGTGAGGCTGACACTCTCAGTGCACAGTCCTCACTCTGAACACTGACGTGCTTTTTAGCTATCCGGGTGCGCTAAAAGCCTTGACTTGGAAGAATGCCAGCTGGTGGGATAACTCGGTGCTCCTCTCCGGAAGGAGAGAAACGATGCAGAGGCTCTTTCTTAGTGTCGCCTACACAGCACTCCACTCAGATGGGATCCGGCCCGTCGCCTTCTTGTTTGGGTGGAAACCTATTCGGATCAGGCGTGTGCGTCATGCGTAAATGGTCTGTTTAGTTTTGTCAGCCAATGCACCCAATGCCGCCTCCGGTCCTCTTGACTCCGTCTCTACATCGGGCTCAGGAGGGCGGGGGGAAGAGAGTAGATGCTGTGGATGCGACACAAGTCTACTATTAATAAAAACCCATTCACAGGCAAGTCACCGTCCCTTCGCAGACCATTCAGTGAGGCAAATGGTGGACATTGTTGGTGAAGACTACCGAACCGTCGGGTGTCAGATTGTTGTCGAGGTTGACTGTGCATTCGCCATGACGTCAAAACTCATGCAGGTCCTCAGTATCAAGAGTCTATCCACAAGTTGTGTGCTACTTTGCTTAAGTTTCAACTTCACCATTTGGTGAAGCATCCGGTGTTTTATGACACAGGTCGTCTTGATTGTCATGGCACCTCGAATGCCTGACTGGCGATTGCAGGCACATTAACTTCATTGTCAATGCTTGGGCATGGGGTATGCCATTGATTTTTTGTGTTTGTTTGGAGAGATTATTGGTGACAGTTGGGGCAGTTGCATCGTGAAAACCAGAAGATTGGTGCAACTTCCTTGAGAATCCGTGCTCTCTCTGCATGCTACCAGAACATAAAATGTGCATAATTGGCTTGCACAGCTGTTCCTTTAAACAGTTCGTGCATCAGAGTCCGAGGAAATTCCAATGGTCTAATTGCCTCCCATGACAGTTCGGTCATCGTTTCCGACGATGTTCACTGTTTGCACCCTCAACAGAGTGGACGCAGGGACGGTGACTTGCGCGGCATCCACCACACTCTCTCCTCCTCCTCCTCCTCCTCCTCCTCCCCATCTGGGTTCTGTGTCATGGCTAAGCCAAAAGGCCGCAACTGGCTGGCATGACGAAAAGCCGCACCCAGGCGTACCACTGCATCCCCTGGTCCATAACAAACACTTGAACAAGATTTTTAACAACGACAGAAATTGGGGGACGGTGTGGACCTCAGTTCGTGTTGCGTGAGCCTGTCACTGGGGCCTGCCAGCACATCTCGAATGTTGACATCCATCCCACAGAGATGGGCGAACGGATACCTGGAGCCCCATATATACCCCAATATACCCCGGAAAAACGTAAAGAATTCAGACAACAACGAACCTTATGCAAAAGACTCATCCGAGAAGACCGAGCTTCTTATGAACTGAAGCTCCTAGAAGAGGCGCAGCAAAAACCTAAAGCGTTCTATGCATACATCAGG